GACACGATAGACTGCATCGTATGCGAAGGTTATTATGTAGGCAGCCGTTAGGGGCAGGATACAAAAGGAAGCTGAACAGTGTCTACGAGCTCCAACGCACCCACAACGACCACTGTCAGGTACCTCCTCAAGTCTTTCGAAGCTGCGAGAGGTCCCAGATGGAGACTCGGAAGAGTAGGGGGGTTCGCATGCATGTGGAAAGTACAGTCCATCAAGTTCATCCACCAGACCCTCTCGTTCTGTACTGTGAGCATGTAGGATCATAGAGATGGAGATGTAGACCATGCTGAGCTGAGTGAAGATGCCCAGAATGGCCACCCACAGGTAATTATGGGCGTAAACCAGAGAGAGAAGAGGAATCTCAGTAGGCAGCGGGTCATAGGCACAGTCCTCGCCTATCCGCGTCAGCAGGAATTGGGGTGACATGAAGAGGAAACTAATACCGAAAACAACCACCAAATTGGCCGTGAGGCTCTGCTTAGGTGTGATTACCCGCAGATTCAGTTGCTGCTCCGGCTTTAGCATCACCAGAGCCCGATTGAGGGCAGATGAGAAGGCAGCCTGATGGGCGAGAGCGTAGGTGAACCAGAAGAAGAATTGTGTGCTCAAAAACAGGCAAATAATCCGCTCAAGCACCGGATTGCCGCTCTTGATGCCGTGCAACCGGCCATCGCCTATGAGAATGGAGAAGGCGACCGCAAGACAGCTGGCAGAAAGGACTCGAAGCAGGGCTAGGTCTTCCATTTTCTTGGCACGGAGACGGGCAAGAATAACAGTTGCTGTTAGGTTAAATATGAAACTGAGGAGGTCTAGCACGATTGAGGCGATGTCAAGAGTGCTGGGCCAGTCGGCATCGTCGAGGCATCTCTTGTCGTATTCTGCGTCCCGCATCTGAGCAGATGTCTGAATTAACTAGAATGAAGGGATTTAACCCAGAGGAGGCCATGGCAGCAACCAATAGAAATACAGAGCGGAACGGCGTGGTCATTTTACTTTTGTGCAAACGAAATAATCGTCAGTAGTGCTGGGTGGGGGTGAGGTGGATAGGAGTGTCCGCCCAGCTTGGGCATATTCTTCAGTTTGCAAAAAGACCGTATAAAGAAGTATTTAGAGACGAACGTATGTGGACATAAATACCCAAACCTCATGAAGCCGTCTGTTTAACAGTTCTTAGAAAAAGTACCCAGTGAATAAGTAGGAAGAAGCCCGGAAAGGGAAGGTTTAATATTATCTCCAAAGAAAAAAACCACAGACCTGATGGCACAGTCATGCACAAGATTGCACATGAGCAAATGACCTTGAGTGCAAAAGTGTAAAAATAACCACAAGGTCCTTCCGTTCACCATGGTTATATGAGCCTTTGAAACGAAATGTTTAATTCCTGTCCAGGCCCTTGAACAGGTAGCAGGCTATGTCGGTAATACAATACCGTCCATGATTGGTAAATATACAGTATGGCAAGTCCTGCAAACAATTTTCATGACGAAATTTAACGTGGTAGTTTAGCATATATTTGGACAGGTTATTTTGATTGACTGAGTGGATTTAATAATTAGAAGGCCTTTGGTTTGGAAAACTGCCATCTTAGTTAGAATTATAGAGCGAGACAGATCATGGTTAAATCATGAATAACTTTTTATCGAACAAAGTTCCTATGCTATAAGGTGCGACAGAACCAAACTTTTTGCAAGTATGCATTTTGCTGTGGAAGAATTCCAGAATAAGTACAAAAGTGGAATAATACTCCCTTCC